GAGTGTTAGAGTTGTTTGGTATTGCACGCAGTTTTCCCGGAGAGAGATTTTTAGCAATACCTTAAAGAGAGGTTACGGGCGTGTAAGGTCCGTTAGCGGGAGATCGGCGGGAGCGGCGCACGTTTCGAATTCGGCGGGCGCTTCGAATTTGTCGACGGACCGTTTCAGGTCGCTGCTGCTCCCGTATGAGCGAGGCTGCCGACGCTGCCATGATTGAGGCTGCCGACGCCGACGGGCGGCTGCGCGACGACCCGCTGACGGACCGTCCCGTGGACGCGGCAGCGGCGGCAGAGCGAGAGAGATTGGCGAAGGCGGCCAAGCTTGCTGCGCAGACCGCCAACGCGATGGTCGCCGTGCGGGGGCAGCTCAAGTTGCGGGGACAGGCAGCGGACAAGGCCGCGCACGACGCCAACGCAGAGGCGGGAGCGCCGGTGAAACCGTCGTCTATGATGGTCGAACGAGTGTTCACCGCCCGCCTCGACGGTCCGGACAGGTACATGGTGGCTCGACGAAAGGAGCGAAAGACGGCCGCCGGGGCTGGCACTGCCGTCGAGGTGGTGGCGGGGTTGGAGAAGATGGCGAACTCCGCCGTCACGATGGTGCAGAGAGAAGGCGCCGACGGCATCACGGTGACTGCGGAGCACAAGGCGCTGCTGGATGACGTGGCGTTGGAGCAGGGTCGCAAGGCGATCGTGGCGAGGGCGGCGTCAAATTACCGCCAGCACACCGCGTGGCTGGCGTCTTTTGCGACGTTTGTGCAGTGCTTTTACCCGTGTGGATGGCGGCACAACCCGCCGCTGGATGGAAGCGAGGGCGCAGGGACAGCTATCGACCCGCGGCTGGTGGCGCTATACTTGGCGATGGTGGCAAACAGGCTGGTGCCGTTGGGAGGGTTTGTGTGCGACCATGTGGACGGGACAGCATCGTTTGCAGCGAAGGGGAGGAAGGCGGCGCACACCAAGGGCGCGGAGGCAGGGGAGCGGTACTATGGCATGGCGTACGTGAAGACCTTCCTCGACGGGCTCAGCGGTTACTCGCGAGTTTGGCGCGTGACAGCGCCGCAGTACGACCCGGACTGGTACGACACGATTTGGGCGCTGCGGAAGGTGTGCAGTGTGCGGCTTGACTCGAACCGGCCTTTCAAGGCGGCGGCACTGTGCCCAGTGACAGTGGCGTCACTGCTTGCGACGTTATCAGCGGTGAACGCGGGCGACGCGAATTTTGCGGCGGTGCTGTCGCTGGGGCTGGCGTTCTGGATGCGACCAAACGAGTGGTTTTTCCTCGACGTCGAGTGCATGGCGTTCGTGAAGATGCGGGGGATTGAGCTGCTGCACATCCTGTTTGTCATCTCAAAAGGCGATGACAACAGCTCCGGCGTTGTGCGACGGACCGCGCACCGGGTTGGGTGCGGCGGGACGAGCACGGCCCCGGAGATCGTGCTCGACGGCGACGGGCACTTTCACGGAGCCTTC